ATATCTGATGCCCTGGCCTGCCTTCGGCAAGAGTCTTGTTGGGTTGGTTCAAGCAAAAATTCCCCTCACCCCTGAGGTTTTCTATTAGTAATTTCCCATCCATGGACTCCTCATTCCATTCCTTAGCTATCATGTTCTCCTTGCTTGTGCTGTATTTAGAGTCGAGCCCAATCTCTCTCTCTCTCTTTCTCTCTCCTGCACTAATGCCCCATCATAGTGGTTGCTCTACTATTGTGAATACAGTCTTCCTTGAAATGTCCTCCTTACCATATTTACTTATAATCCTTGACACTTTAAAATGCATTTTCCCTCTTCTCTCCAGTTCCAAAGCCCAGCAGCTCTCTGGGCTTCTCTTCAGTCCCCAAATGGGCTTGGATCATAGGACCACTCATCTCTACACTCATGCTGGTGATTTTTCACTCTGCTCTTTTTGCCCACCTCCACCCCCTGCTAAACCAGGCTGTGTTTTCTCCAGTCCAGCTTCAGAGTTTCCAAACAGCAGGTGAAAGGAACTGCATTCTCTCTCCATGTGCTTTAATGGAACTGTGGTCCTGGTGTGGAATGGAAATTCTGGTATACATCCTTGTGACCTACAGATTTCCCCCAAACTTCCTATAGCCAGTGCTGTTGTTCGAATGTGTTTGATTTCTGGCAAAACTCATGTTGAAATTTGATTGACAAGAGAGTAGTGTTGGAGGTGGGGCTTTAAGAGGGATGAATGTCTTACTTTTCTTTCTTTCTTTTTTGAGTGGTGGTGGGGTGGTGGTGAAAGGAAAGTGACCACAACACTCAGAGAGACCAAGAGATCTTTATTGCAGCAGTGCAAAAGAGGAGAAAAAGAGAAAGAGACAGAGAGAGAGAGAGAGCAAAAGCAAGAGAGAGGGGCCTGGCAGGAGGGAGTTTTTATAGCCCAAATCTAATGGGGTCTCTGGGTCTGCAAGCTGCCTTGTTGGCATATAGTGATTGGGTCATACAGTAGTGTTATCTTCTGCCTTCAGGCAGAGGGGCAGGGGTCAGATGTAGGTTTCTGTTGGAGTGCTCAGCCTTGAATGAGGTTGAGTGTTCAGATTTGATGCAAACAGGTGATAAAGGACCAGACAGAGAGGGGTTTGAGTGCATGGGTTATCCTGCAGCTGACATTCGTTCAGCCTGCCCTGCAGACAACTTAGTTCAACCTTCCTGCACCTAACAGGGGATTACCATGGATTGAACTCAAGGGACACTCGACCACTGAGCCACATCCTCAGCTCTGTTTTGTATTTTATTTAGAGACAGGGTCTCACTGAGTTGCTTAGTGCCTCCCTTTTGCTGAGGTTGACTTTGAACTCACGATCCTCCTGTCTCAGCCTCCTGAGCCGCTGGGATTACAGGCATGCGCCACCGCGCCCAGCCTCTGATGTCTTTCTTGACAGACTAGATTGATTTACTTGGGAATGGAAGAGTTCTCACAAGACGAGGTTATTATAATAAATATAATGTAAATATAACATTTCTTTTGTGGCATTTCCAACCTGCCATATCCTCTTGCTTTACTTGGTGAAGTCAGATCTATCTTTTTGGGATTAGGGACAGTTCCAAAGCAGCCCTTCCTGACATTCCATCTGGGAATGATCCCAACATTCTTGCAGCATCCCCTTGTCCCATTCATTGGGAACAGCACTTCTTGATGTGTTCCGCTCCCCTCAACACTGCTTCCCTTAGTTTCCCAATGCCCCACTCTCCTGATGTCCCCCTGCCTCTCAAGCTGTCCTCTCTAAGGCTCCTGGTGCACGTAGCCATCTGTCTTTGGCTGTTTTAACACTGAAACTCCTCCAGGCTCCCTTCTGGACCTTCTTCCTACCCCCCCCCCTTTTTTCCAGCTGTGGTTCCAGACACCATTAAATGCCATCCCTCTGACCTCTCTTGTGGTCCAGGGGCCTACTTAGGATCTTCACACAGATGCCTCAGAGGGCTCTCACTGAGACTTGATCCCTGTGCAGCCTGGCCCCCTTGCAGCAACCCTCCAGTGGACAGCACTACCGGCTCCACATGCCAGAAACTTGGGAGCCCTCCCCGGAAACTCCTCTCCTGTGCTCCTCAACCTGAACAGATGCCTGCCTTGACCTTCTGCATGTCTTCATGGCCTTTCCCCATCTTGTCTCACCTCCCAGCATCCTCAGCCTGGACTATTCCAACAGCGCCTTCCTGGATTGCCCATCTACTCATGCTCTAGTTGGGGTTGTCCTCCACGCTGCATCTAGAATGATCTTCTCAAAATGCAAATTGCATGGAGCTAGACAGGGTGGCACCTGCCTGTAATCCCAGCTACTCAGGAGGCAGAAGCAGGAGGATCACAAATTCAAGGCCAGCCTGGGCAACTCAATGAGATCCTGTATCAAAATTTTTTTTTTTTTTAAAGGGACCTGAGGATGTAGCTCAGTGGTACAGAGCTCACCTAGCATGCATGAGGCCCTGGGTTTAATCCCCAGTACCACAAAATAAATAAAATAAATAAGCAAATCTCATATTGTCATCTCTTTTTTTTTTTAAAGAGAGAGTGAGAGAGGAGAGAGAGAGAGAGAGAACTTTTTAATATTTATTTTTTAGTTCTTGGCGGACACAACATCTTTGTTGGTATGTGGTGCTGAGGATCGAACCCGGGCCGCACGCATGCCAGGCGAGCGCGCTACCGCTTGAGCCAAATCCCCAGCCCATATTGTCATCTCTTTTACTTAAAGTCTACCAGCCATTTTCCATTGTCTAAATGATCAACTGCTTCTTTTCCAGATTCATTTTCTACCCTTCTGGCCTTCAGCTAGTTGCTCCAGCATCCTGCCATGGGACTTTTGCACATGCAACTCCTACTGGGAGCGAGCTTTCCCTCCTTCCTCATTCCAGGCTCTAAGAGCTTGCTACCACTATCCTTATTGCTTACTTCAGGGTAGTGTTGCCCTTTTTGCGGTTATTGGATCATGTTATTTGTTTCTCTCAATAGCCTGTGAGCTCAGGCAGAGCAGAGAAAGGCAGACGAGAATATAGCATAAAAGAGAATTCACTCAGACCCAAGGACTACCACGCGTCGGGTGCCGTATATTGGGTTGGAGACTGAAGAAGGCCAAAAGGAACAGGATTAAAACTCGATGGCTTTAGAAACAGGAAAGTCAGTAGAATGAATCACACAGAACTTTCCTATGTTCATATATGAAATGTCACAATATATCCTGCTGTCATGTATATCTATAAAGAAAAGCAACAAAAACCTCAAAGGCTTTCTTCTCTCATGGCTGTTCTCAGCACCTTCTTCTGGGCTCCTCTTCCACCTGTCATCTCCACCATCTGTTCCTTTCCACTTTCGCAGCACCCCAAGTCCCCTGGCAACTTTGACCGCTGCCTGTATAAAGGCACACCAGCCATCACTCAGAGGCTGATCTCACAATTTCTCGTAAGAATCTTCTGCTGGACTGAGTGACCAGCTGGCCAAGCTACCCTCCTGGAGCTGTGGTGTCCCCTTGGGCATGAGTTCCAGCCTCTAGGACACCAGGTCAAGGCCATATGCGGGTGGAGGAGGGTCCCTGGCTGGAGAGCACCTGAAGGGGATAAAGGCTCTGCTGGGCAGTCCTGCTGGTCCAGGCCACACCCAGGTCTTAAAGGGGACTGAGTCAATTTCAGTGAAGCCACTTTGAAGCATGGGGCTCCCCCAGGCAGCCCTGACGCCTGGCTTTCTGGAACCCTGAGCTTCACACACGAGCTCTGGGGGTGACATGCAGGACTTCTGTGACCAAGACTTGTCCATCAGGTCAGAGCTGCTTCAGATGGGGCAGGCTGACCTTGGCACTCTGCATCAAGGGGCGGAGAAGCCCAGCTGTGGGTCAGAGTCCCCATCACCCAGGTTTATCTGGACCATCTTCCCCTGAGCAGTTCCCACACATTCTCCTTTTCCTGGTTCTCTGGGCTCCTCAGCTACGGATTCTCCTCCAGCCACCAACCCGAATCTCCCCTACTGGTCCCCTTGGCTCCACACTGGCAGAACTGGGCTGCAGCCTAGCCCCATCATTAGCTCCTCTGCAAATCTTCTGATGGCTTCGACTGGCTTGTTCACTGTCCCTTCTCCATTGGCAGCTTCTGTCCCTGAACTAAATTAGTCACATCCTATCATTTTCTTTTTTTGGTCCTGGGTGTTGAACTCTGGGGCTCTTCACCACTTAGCTATATCCCCAGCCCTTTTCTTTTTGTACCAGGGATTGAACCCAGAGGTGCTTAACCACTGAGCCACATATCCCCAGCCCTTTTTATAGGATTTTGCTAAATTGCTGAGACTGACTTTTGAACTCGCAATTCTTCTGCCTCAGCCTCCTGAGCTGCTGGGATTACAGGTGTGCCTTACCATGCCTGGCTGGACAATTCCATTTTGAGACAGGGTCTCACTAAGTTCCCAAAACTGGCCTTGAACTCACAATCCTCCTGCCTTAGCCTCTGAATGGCTAGAATTGTGTGCGCCATAATGCCCAACTATATCCAATCTTTTTTTTTTTTTTTTTTTGTGCTAGGGATTGAACCCAGGTACCTTTTTTTTTTGTATTTTATTTAGAGACAAGGTCTCAGAGTTGCTTAAGGCCATGCTAAGTGGCTGAGGCATGATCTTCCTGCCTTAGCCTCCTGAGCTGCTGGGATTACAGGTATGTACCATCACACATGATGGTCACATCCAATCTTAAGGAGACAGGTTTTATTTGCATTTCTAGGTCTTGGGGCGGGGGAGAGCAGACAAAGCCTGAGCCTTCAGATTTTAGGCAGAGACCTGGCCTTCCAAATCACCATTTGCCCACTTTGGCCCTTTCCATTTGTGCCTTCCCACAGATCCATGTACAGAGGATGGAACATGTTTAAGAAGCTGAAACCCATGTTTCTAAGCCATATTCCCAAAGATGCAGGGCTAAGTGGATCCCACAGACCTTGGGACAGGCTTTTCACTGAAGCCTAGACCTCAGGGCCACTTGGCCAGTTATCACCAGTATTCTTCATTGCCAGGCTGAAATATTTATTTGAAAAATTGAAAACACAGATGCAATGTATTATACAAAGACAGTTCTTAATACCATAATAAAAGTATTGTTGGAAGGAAACAAAAGCCAGTGGCTACCTGCCCTGGGAAGGTAGGCACTCAGTGAAAAATGAAATTTATTTATAGGGACTACTCTAATGGAGAACTGGGGAAGAGGTTAAAAACAGAAGAAAACCAGACCCAACCCCATCCCTGCAAACCTAAAGGTTAAGTTTGTTATAAGTTTGAGACAGTTGTGTTATCACCAAGATTTAACCAAACCCCCTCGGTTTGTCCCTGTGAGTGGTAATCAGCTTTAGGGCTTTCAAACCTGAGGTAGTTGAGGGTCATCTGAAAGACATGTCTGGAAAGATCTACTCTCAGAATTGGATCCAATGGCATCTAACCTATTATTTCCCATTGCTTTGGCTCCTGGGGGCACAAGAGAGGCAGTGCCACCATTGTGTGTCACTGGTCCTGGGAGATGAAGGAAAGAGCAGCTGATGGCTGCTTTGGTTTGTTGCACTGCTGGCCGGCAGGCTCCATAGGTGGATCCTTATGCTATAGAAGTCCGGTCTCTGCAGGACCAAGATGGCGGAGAGAAGGCAAAGCCACTCTGGTTGGAAGGCCCATGTTGGGAAGGCTTTCCTTGGCAGGATTTCCAGAGATGTGGAAAGGCGGTAGTTAGCAAGAACACTTACCAGCTGTTAAAAACCAGGATGAAATGGAGCCAGGAGACCCCTCTATGCTAAGGAGCCAACCAGGAAGTGAGAACTTCCCAGGCTCCAGCTGAGAACCCCCCTTCCTCAGGGGCCAGAGGCCAAAGCAAACCAGCCTGACCAAAATGACATGTACTTATGAGCCCGTTATAAACCTTGGTGTCTGATTTGGTAGCGGAAACAACTCTAAGAGAGGACGCTCTGGACCGTTTGGTTCTTCCAGCCCCTGGGACTTGTATTCAAGGTGGGATCCTAGAGATACTGCTGTGGGCAGAAGAATCAGCATGTCATCTAAATTATTACTTTGTGCTCGGATATCAAATAATCCCACGAAAGCAGGTCTTTTCTATCTTTCTGCTGATTATGTACATGAATATGCTAACTCTAAAGGTATTAGAGGACTGAATTACAAAATTAGATACCAGGTGCAGGTGTGCGTGTTAACTGCTGTCCAATCCTAAGCCATCACTGTGCGGCTGCCTGCGTGTGGGGACCATCTGCATTCACCATGATTCTTCAGCTACTAAGAAGGTCAGGAACTCATTGAAGAGGCTTGTGAGGTTCATTTCCAGCTTTGAGATGGAATTTTTGTTTTCATCCAAGGTATTCCCACCCACTCATTGTTAGAAGAGCCAGACAGACAATTTGATTTGGGCTTGAGGATGGCACAATTTCTCATCTGAGCTATTATAAAAGGGATTAAGTGACATCTGATAGGTGGTGACACTGGGTCAGCCTGTGCTCTGGGGTGAGTGCCATCTTGACTGTTTTATTACTTGGGCTGACTGAGCTCAGGAGGGTTTTTAAAATGACTGTTTTTAGAGCAAGTGTTATTTTAGGAAATACTAATCTGTTCCGATATGTATATTGGAACAGATTAATTTGGGACATGTGGGTGTGCATGATGTGGACCACAGAAGCGAGGACTTGGTCCACCACCTCTGGAAAGGCTATCCCACACTGGGAACACACCAATCAGCTTGACTGGCACAAGTGGGCCAGGGCACTGCACATGGCGCCTTCTGAGTCTTGGAATGGAGAAACACTTCGCACAGAGAGGCACTGAACCCAGGACAGCCCAGATGCTGCCACAGACACCTCCTTAGCCTAGCACAGAGGCCACACGCCTGAGAACGGTCATCAGAGTTCCTGGGGGACAATTTTTAGAGTGTCCCATTTAGAAAATGCAAGGAGAGGGCATGGGGGTGGGTGGGAAGGAAAAGGGGGTTGATTCACAGTGATCAAACAGAAGTCTCACAACCCGTCATGTGGCCGACTTCCCGACACCCCTGGGGGCAGGTCCAAGGAAGCGCCTGCTGGCGACCACCTATGAGCTGCTACAGATAAGCAAGGAAGACGCCGTTGTTTCCAAGATCAGAAGGTCACTTAATGCTGGGTTCATCGGGAGTGGAAAAGTGCTGTGAGGCTGCCCATCTCTAGGCGGCTGTGCCCTCTGTCCAGGTCCTGTCGCAGGGCAGCAAGGGCTGGGAACGTGTAGCTGGAAGAAGCCAGAGCCAGTGGTCCCCTTTCTCCCCTTCCCTGCTCCGAATGCTCTGAGGAACCTGCTTGCTTTGGGATCCAAGCCAGGAACAGCCCAGGGATGGTCCCTTGCCCTGTGGATGATCTCTGAAGAGAGACAGGTGTCGAGGGCAGCAGATAAGCCTCGCCTCAGCCACACTGGTGACTGCGATTGCTCCAAGCATCTCTTTGTGGACCGCTGCTGCTTAAAGGAGGTTAGTAATAAATACGAAAGGTCCTTTCCTGATGGGAGCAAGTGGGTGTCTGATCTTCCAGATGTCGATCAGGTAGCACATGGAACTCTCTTCTTCAGGTTCGATAGGATGCCCAGGCAGGACGCTGGAGGAAGGAACTGGAAACTCTCCTGCACTGCCCCGGGGCCCTGCCTGGTCTCCCGGAGGTGGCCTTCTTGCCATGGCACGGCACAGACCATCCTCTCTAGGGAAGTAGTGTTGCTAGCACACCAGTTCCGTTCAAGCATGTGATCAGGTGCGTGAGCCCCTTCAGGGAGCTCCCAGGAAGGGCATCTTGGAGCCCTGTTGCCTGCGAAGGTGGACAGAGGTGCTCGGCTGGCCTCCAGCCTTAGGGAGGAAAGGCACTCGCTCTGCTTCCGCCTCCTGAGGAGAGCTGTGGCCCACCCCTGGTGAGTGGCCTCTGCTGACCGGCATTCGCTCAGCGGGACACTCAGCAAGGAGGCCGAGCTGGAGCACCAAGGCAAAGTCTGCGTGGCACCAGGTCTGAGGCTGCTGGGGCGGGGGCCCGGTGGCTCGGGGCTCCAGGGGTGTCCTTTGGAAGAGTTGGCTGAGTGACTGAAACTTTCAAAATATAAAACCAAAAGACCCAAACGGCCACCATGAGAAGCAGTGGGAATCCGCGGGACTGCCAAAGGGGGGGGCGCCACGGTGGCCTTCTTGGCCAGGATACTCCCGCCATCCCAGCCACTGACGCGGGCAGCGCCCTGGTTTGGAATCCACCGGCCCTTGGATGCTCGCAAGTTTGTGCAAAGGATGAAACGGAAAAGACTGAGAAGGAAAAAGAAAAGGAGAGGCATCAGATCGTCCTCTCCCAGTCCCTCTGAGGAGGACACCGGCTGCTACGGAGGTAGAGCAGTGCGCAGGACTAGCTGGTGTCCTCCCCAGGAGTGCCCAGCTCCCCCCACCTCTTTGGACCTGGGCTTGCACGTGGACAGCGTGGGCCAGCCTGGATACTGAGAGGTGGGGAGAGACAACAGATCATGGATTCAATCGGGGAGTCCCTGAGGAGGGGGTCATGCAGGTCCCCGGTTCTAGTTAATGGGAAGGTGTGGGACTGGGTCTGTGGCATCACAAACACAGAAGGGTGACGAGCATTTACACTCTGACGTCTGGGGCGCGGGTTTGGCTCTACTCTTTCTCGGGGACGGCTTCTTGCAACGTAGATGGAGACGCTTCTGCTCCTAAAAGACAGTGATAATCTATCACATGGCACTTGTGAACCAACCCCAACTGCCACCATAACCATGGAGCAATCATCCGTCCCCAAGTTCAGTGTCTAAGAAACCCCAGGAGGTATATGTAGATGGTCCCCAGAGTTGGTCAAGTCTACCAGGAACCAGCGGCCTTGGTGAGATTCGGGCGGCCACTCTGGATGTGTGGAGAAGCAGCACAGAGACACTGGCTGAGGGTGGTCTCCGGGCTGGAGGCCTAAGTAAGACCCCATCCCACCCCATCTCTCCTCCTCAGCCCGTCTCTGGGCCATCGTGGCCTGTTGCTGGCTGTGGACAGTCAGAACCTGACCATTATTCATCCACTATGGCCTCCATGCTGGGAGGAGATGAAAGTCCCAGGGTCCAACCTGGCGAGTGGCCTGGGAAGGCGTGGGGGAGGGCGAGCGTGGGATGAGCTCCCTGGTCAGTGTCCAGGCTGCAGCGTGGGCTTCCCACCCACTGAGTTACCCCGCTTTAGACCTGAAGATTACCCCGAGGGCGCGAGGACCCCGGGTTCACAGGGGCCAGCTCACCTTCCTCCCAGCCCTCGGCCACACCGGCCAGCTCATAGTGCTTCTTGCGGAGCTCTCCCAGCCGCTGCCGCTCCTTCTGGAGGTCGTTTTCCAGCTCGAGCACCCGGACCTGTCGGGAGGGAAGTGGTTTTCTTCTTCTGCAAGACCTGTCTGGTTTGGACCGAAGCCCCGTCCTTCGTGAACAACTGGACAGGACCACAATGACAGGACGATGTGGCGAAGACGCAGGGTGGCCCGCAAAGGTCACCCTCAAAAACTGAAACCTACACGGCCGGAAGAGCCCAGCGGTTCAGATATAGGAGGACTATTCCAGGCAGAAGGGAGAGCGGGGCCAAGGTCCAGGAGGAAAGGGCTTAAGGTGTCAGGAGAATGGAAAGAGCCCCGCGTGGATCCCGAGAGAGGGAGAGGGTCATGAGATGGCTGAGACACAGGCTGGATATTGTCCTAGTGTAAAGCAAAGACACCGGAAGGTTCTAAGCAGGGAGGAGACCTGTGGTCCTGTGTGTTTTTAAAATATCACATGGAGAAGGAGTGGACAGTGGCAGGTCCAGAGTAGGAGCACACTGGCGCCAGCCAAGTGGTTCCTTCCTTGTTTTACAATTAAAATTGATTAGAGTCAACGTAAAACATGCAGAAGGACGGAGGCAGCCGGTGCCTTCCGCCCACCTCCACCAACTCTCCGCTTCCAGCCAGAAGGCCTCAGCCCCCCAACCAGGCCCTGCATTGGACGATGTTGAAACAAACACTTGTAAATGCCAGGGGCCAGCAGCTCTCGAAGGTAGATGATGGGGTTGTTTCTCAAGACTCAGAGTCACAGGATTGCTGGCTGGGAAGAGAGGGATCATGGACAACTCCTACTTTTGTGGGTCAGCACCCGGGTGCTGGTGGCAGTGCATTCACCGAGATGGAGACAGTGGGGGTGGGGACCTGCTCTGCAGGTTCTGTTGAGATACTTATGTGGCATCAAATGGAGACCAAGCAGGAACTGGGAGCAGAGAGTAGACCTAGGCTGAGGAGAATTTGGTGTTTACCAGCATTAAGATGGTGTTTAGCCAGGTGGGGTGGCACACGCCTATAATCCCAGCAGCTCGGGAGGCTGAGGCAGGAGGATTGTGAGTTCAAGCCAGCCTCAGCAACTTAGCAAGGCTCTGAGCAACTCAGCGAGACCCTGTCTTCAGCAAGGCCGGGAAGTGCTCAGTGGTTGAGCATCCCTGGGTCCAATACTCAGAACAAAGATGGTATTTAAAGCCAAGAAGGGTGGAATAAAACCACTGAGCAAGAAGTCTTTCAGTATTTACATGGCAATGTGGCTACATAAGACGCTGAGTGACTATCTATAGTACTTCAATAATCCCAATCTGAATTTTACCCCAAGACTAGTGGAAAGATGTCAGATTTTTTTCCTAGGACCCCACTGATTCCTGTGCTGCATAACTTTACTGAGCCACAAAATGAAACGGCATCACCTTTGATGAAGTTACAGTGGATCCACTTTTTTCTTTAAACTAAAGTTTATTTCTAATTTGTATCAGCAGTTTTTGAAAGAACTGCTTATAGTAGGACTATTAAATAAGTTTGTGGATTGCTCCAAGGTCCCCGATCACTAAGGGTTAAAATTCTGGAATCTACTAACCACTGCTCCCCGCCTCCAGCTTCCTGCAGTCTCATTTATTTTCTATCTTAGGCTGAAAGTGCACCCGTGTTCATCCCCTGCCCAAGGGTTTCTCTGGCTTTTCTCTAGGGCATATGATTGGGGTTGCTCTCACCTGGGAATCCATCTCCTGGCGTTTGATCTGGGTCAGTGTCATGCTTGAGAAATCCATATTGTCTGCAAGGACAGAAATAAGAAGGCCTTATCACATGGTGTCCCTGGCCGATGCTCCCGAGAGGTGGTGACACCAGTGTTCTGCTGAAATGCCTGGCTGGCCACTGGCCAAGATGTGCGTGAAAGTAACGGAGGGATTAAGGGGAAAGAAGATTGAAGAGATTGTGGGGCAGCCGGGATCTGACCTCTCCAGGGCCAGACTCAGAGCAGAGAAATGACAGAACAGAAATCTACTTAAGGGCCAGTTGCTGAAGCAACATAAGCAGCCTGCGTACTGTGCCCCACCTGGTGAGGAGGTGAGCTTGGGGGACGGAGACGGAAAACGACAGCTTACAACAAAACCGTGGGGAGGGCGGTGAGGAGGGGTATAGAGAACGGCTACCTGTCTCCTCTATCTGTGATTTGCCCGAAATGGTGGAGGCCACGACCCCCGCGGTGGCCTGGTTCACTCCCCGAGAGGCCTGCTGAAGCTGGGCGAGGTTGGGACTGTCCTTGTCAGCTTTCACCTGCCAGGACAAGGAAGATTGGGTTCATACCACACCCAGAGCAGCAGGGCTGGATCAGACAGCTGGTCTGAGGGTTTGAGACCCTCTGTTGTCGCCAATCAACTTCTCTGTTGTCTGTGGGGTCAGCTCCTGGCATGTCCCCAGTCTAATGGATTAATCCTGGCTTCCTGGCCAAACTCTAGCTTTCTCGCTCATTGATCAATTCTTACAGTCGTGAAAAACAATTGGGGCCTGGGCATAGTGGCACACACCTGTAATCCCAGTGGCTCAGGAGGCCAAAGCAGGAGGATCACAAGTTCAAAGCCAGCCTCAGCAACTTAGTGAGGCCCTAAGCAACTCAGTAGGTTTAATCCCTGGTACCAAGGGGAGGGGGGAGAAACCCAACAATTTGGGCAGCAAGAAATAAGGATGAATGAATACCAGGCACTGAGTGGGACCCTGGGCTCTGGTTACGAGCTGTGTGTAAGGACTGGCTGGGGCAGGGGTTCAAGTCTGGAGACCGAGGAGGAGAGGCAGTCTTGGTTATTCAGAATCTAGAGCCACACCAGGTGACCTGATTGATCAGTGTGCCGACTGGCTCCCTATCTGAGTGTTCCTTAAATGCCAGGACTGCTAATCAGAAGCTGGGCACGCTAGGACCCTCTAAGGCCACTTGACAGGAGTGAAGAGATTGCAGGAGAGGCTGCGGCCAGCTAAAAAGGGCTCCTTGCTGGATTTAGGCCTCTAGAGGTATGGGACCTCTAGAGGCAGAATTTTTGTTTGGGATTCAACCGACCCAGAAGGTATAACTCATCTGTCCTTGGGGTCAGTCCCACTTAAGTGTCCTGTGGAATCCAGCACGGGTCCTACCTTCGATGCCGCCACCAGCTGGGCTGTGCTAGCAGCAATTTCATGTGAACACACCATCAGCTCCTCAAACTTCCCTCTGCCTTGTACCACCAGGTCAGCAGCATCCCTGGCAGTCAGGAAGGCAGAGGATGGACAAGGTCACACGTGGCCAAACCCCTATAATCCCGCTGCCAGCCCAACTCTGTCCCTAGCCAGACAGGTTCTGCCTTTGCCGCACCTGGGTTCACCAGGAGACCGAAGGTCCCTTTCAAACTTGTAGCCCCACTGCCTTATCAACCATTCATCAGGGGACGGATCTTTCTCTCTCCTTTTGCTGTTCCCTGAGGGGGGTCAGTGGAAGGGGGATTGGGAAGGAGCCCTGGCCCCACACACTTACACCATGATGGTGGCTCCCCAGCCTACGGCTTTGGAGGCTGAGATGAGTCCCTCTGTCCACCGAGAGTTCTTGGCATAAAATTCTTTAGGGGATGCAGTCCCCTGTGGAAGCAAAAGATAACTGTGCTTTGGGGACTTTTACCTATCATGTCCCACCAGGTCTTCACTGGAACTCAGAGAAGCAAGCATCTTTACTCCCACTTTACAGATAAGAGAACTAAGACGCAGGAAAGCAAAAGTATTCTTCCCAAGGTCACCCAGGAAATAAGGGGAAGTAAATCTGGGGATTTCCTGACACCAAGGCCTGTGGCATTTCTATTATCGTCACTGTGTGTCTGTAGTTGGCCCTCAGTACCTGCAGACTCCACGTATGGATTCAACCGGCTGGGGATTGAAAATATTTGGGATAAAAACCCCGTATCTGTACTGAACATGGCAGACTTCTTGTCATTATTCCCTAGCATTCACACTCTATCAAATCAGGTATTACACTGGTATTATAAGATTATTATATTATAGTCTAATCATAATTATAGTGCATTATATCAAGTCAGGTATCAGATCAGTAATGTATAAGTAATCTAGAGATGTTTTAAAGTATATGGGAAACTGGGGTTGGTGGCACATGTCTGTAATCCCAATGGTTCTGGAGACTGAGGCAGGAGGATCACAAGTTTGAGGCTAGCCTCAGCAACTTAGCGAGGCCCTAAGCAACTTAGTGAGACCCTATCTCAAAATAAAAAATAAAAAGGGCCGAGGGTGTGGCTCAGTGTTAAAGTGCCTCTGGGTTTAACCCCCAGAACCTACTCCCCGAAAAAAAGTAAATGGGAGATGTGCATAAGTTATGGGCAAACACTGTGCCATTTTATATGTGAGACTGAAGCTCATGAATTTTGCATCGGGGAGATCCTGGCACAGTTCACTGTGTCCACTGAGAGCCTGTACATTCTGTGAGAAACACGAGTGGGTTGCGGTCTGGAGTCTGCAGGCTCTCCATGATTTGCCAAGAGAAGGGAAGACAGGGAACACTTTTCAAGCATGATTTCTGCTTGGATTTTAAAAAGGGGTTTGTGCTTCGGAAGAGTCTGAGAGTGTGCAGAGGCTCTTGGTTGGCTGCATCTTTCTACTGGAGGAACAGACCCCAGGGCTAGAAGCACCACCTCTGGAACAGAGAGGCTCTTCCACTCTGAGATGAGTCCAGCTCTGCCCCTGCCCTAGATAGCGCTCTGCTTCCCAAGCTGCAGCTGTCACAGCATATGAGGGGCCCACGGGCCAGCGCCAGCCCCAGCAGAAGAGTGGGAAGGAACCCAAGGGACGTGTGGGCCAGGGGCTGACAGCGGGCTCTCTGGGGCCCGAGCACGGGCTGACTCTGCCACTGGGTGCAGGCCGGCTGCATCCTTGTGCACGGTGAGCACGGCTGGCCCTCGATATCTGCAGGTGCAGCCAAACTCAGACAGAAAGTAGTTTCAAGACACTAAGTCTGGGCAGGGGCTGGGGCCGAGCAGCAGAGCGCTTGCCTAGCATGTGTGAGGAGGCACTGGGTTTGATCCTCAGCACTCCATATAAAGAAATAAATAAAATAAAATAAAGGTCCATCAACAACTAAAAAAAAAATATATTTAAAAAAGTACTGTGTCTGTACTGAACAAACACGGAGGGATATTTTTCTTGTCATTAATCCCTAAACAATGCAGTGTGACAGCTATTCCACAGCCTCTGTGCTGCACTAGGTATCATCAGTCACCTGCAGGGCAAGAGCGTGCAGGAGGGTGTGAGCAGACTCCACACCAACTCTGTGCCACAGGGTACAAGGGATCTGACCACCCACAGGTTCTGGTATTGAGGAGGGTCCTGATACCTGACAGATACCGAGGGGTGAGGGCACGGGCCTGCTCCTGGGCTTTGCCCAGGTTCCTCACTTCCTCCTCAGAGGACCTGGACATGCAGTGTGCACGGGGTTCCCACAGCCAGTCCACCTGAGGTGTGCGAGCTGCAGCTGGAAGCTGTGTCTGGCTGCCCTTCTGGGAGTGGGGAGGCCCCCTAGTGCCTGCTGGTGTCCAGATCAAATGACTGCTGTGGACACAGGACAGGCCCGCAGCTCAGCTGGACTCCAGGGACTGTGGGGGAGCCACAGTCAAGGCACGTGAGGCCTGGCCCTGGGATCCAAGCAATGCTCACCCTGCCGCTCTCCACGATCTCCCTCTGTAGGTCCTTCGAGGCCACAATCAGGACCTGGATGGTCTGCATCAGGCTGGTGCAGGAACCGAGGATCCTGTTGAAAAGAGAAAAATAAACAACAAACATGTCAGACACAGAGGCCAAGACAAACTCTCCTCTTCATTAGCCCAAGCCACAGCCAACTTGGAATGGGAAGGAGAAGCAGGGAATGCGCAGAGGTTGCTGGGACACCCTGTGAGGTCGAGAGAGAACCTCTGGCTGTGGATTTGGTAAGGAGCAGCCGGTCATGGTTCTTGGGGTCTGTCTGCCCCATGCTGCAGTGGGAGCCCAGATCTAGTCCTAGAGGGCACGCAGGGTATGACCCGGCACCGGGAAGTTGGATCCTGCTCACCTGGGCACCGCCGTGTGGCTCGGACTCACCTTTCATTCACCTCTAACTTCACACCTGTGTCCCCTGCTCGAGATTTGCTGAGCATTTCCTGTTAAAAGAAGCTTGGTTTCCACATGGGCCACATTCTTCTGGAGTACTGAGAGACCACCGTGCTCTTCTGTGCCTGCTCCCACGTGCTGTGGTAGCTCAGAATCCCGGATCTGGATGTCCCCATTTGTGTCCTTGCAGGGTTTGGGGAAAGGGCCCAGCCCTCTCATCTACTGGGGGTGGGGGTGGGCACAGCTGCAGCAGGTGCTCTGTGGTCAGCAAGAGTCTTGACCTTTAGGAACTCAGGCTGACGTGCACAGAACTGGCTTCCGGTCCTCAAGGCAGGTGCGTCCACCAGGGCAGGTGGCTTGAGTCTCCCACCAAAGGGGCAATATGTGACCTTTGCAATGGTGCCCACTCAGCTTTTTGTGAGGTTTGTTACCACGGATGAGGGCTGCCACTTAATGCTTCTGGGGTAGGTGTCCTTATCACTGCCGTTCTGTAGACAAGGGGCTGAGTCTGGGCTAGGTGGACATAACTAACAAGTCATGCAACCTAATGAGCGGCAACCTAGAACCTGAACCCCGGACATTCTGACACCAAGGCACCTGACCCTTGAGGAATCTGCTCACCTTCCTTAAGTGACGACCTCTTGTTTCCTGCCCCTCACGGATGCAGTGATTTGGGTTTGGGTTTCTTTTATACGGGCCTTTGTAGCCTTCGTGAATGACCAAGACACGTCTAAGGGGCAAGGTTGCCCAGGAGCAGCTGCAAGTGTTGTTTAGAAGATCTTGCACTCACGTCCTACCTCTATCCGAGCTGTGGCAGCTTCAATGGCAGCCGAAGTGGCAGCCATCTCCTTGTCCACGAGGTCCCCCAGCTCCTCCTGTTTGATGTCCAGGCCCATGGGCAACAGCTCCTGTGAATGGCATCACAGAGAATGACACTTTGACCTCTGCTCTGATCTTTTGTAGACCTTCTGAGACAGAAAGGGTAGGAGGCCCCAAGTGTCATGGACCCCATCTGGAACTGCGTGTTCCTTCCCCTCTCCTCTCACTCAGAACCCCTCCTTCTAGGAAGCCAGTGTCTGACTCCAGAGCTCCTTCAGCTGCAGCCGCTTGGGCCCTCAGGCTCATATTCACACACACACAGCTGTCCCTGCAGCATGGGAGACCTAGGTATCTTTACACAGGTGTCCCCAACAAGCCCGAACCTTGCTTGACATTGCTTCCACAGCAACCCCCTGAGGCAGTTCCTATTCCTGCTGTACAGTGGAGTCCAAGGTCCAGACGGGAAACACCAAACCAGTCACACTGCTGACAAAGGGCAGGCAGGGGTCTGATCGAATGTCTAACTGCTGTAAAGCCCGAACCATCATATGTGATCCATACTAGAGCACACAATTCTAGGAATAGTTTAAAGAGTGAAAATGGACTCCAAAACACTATGCGATGTACACATATATGAAAACCTTCGGTATTCCATTGATAAGTATGGCATGTGTATTTGTGCCTTGAGGATGACCCCACTGCTCAATTTTTTACTTTTTTATGTTATCAGTTGAGAAATACGTTTTTAAAAGAAAAAATACTCATGTTACCCACCACTCAATTTAAGCATTATCATTTGGAAATGTATTACCTTTGAAATCCCCTTTGTATGCTGCCTGGATTCTCTCTTCTCCCTTCCTCCCTCTACTCCAAGATAAACAGAGGTCAGGAGGGTGAAGGGTCACATTTTTTTTTTTTTTGGTATTAGAGATTGAACTGAGGGGTGCTTTACCCAGTGCTTATTTTTTATTTTGAGACAAGGTCTTGCTAAGTTGCTGAGGCTGGTCTTGAACTTGCTATCCTCTTGTCTCTTCTCTCCTGTGTCTGGAATTGTGGGCCTATGCCATCACGCCTAGTTAAGATTTCATTTATAGAAGGTCTATAACTAACAGCATATTATTTAGGCAGAAAAAAAGAGGACATAGTTTATTATCTTTTCTATTATCCTCCTCTAGAAAGCTAATTAGGTATCCTTTTTTTCCCTCTTAATAATTACATTCCAATTTATAGAACCACTGCCACACTGCAAAATTCTTTCACTTCCATCTTCCAGTTCACTAATCTTCTCTTTAGCTTTGTTTAATCAACTGCTGAAATTGGATACCAAGTTATCACTTTCTTTTTTTTTATAATGATTTAGTTTACAGATTTTTTTTGTTTATTTAGTTTGTTTATGTGGTGCTGGGGATCAAACCCAGTGCCTCATGCATGCTAGGGAAGCACTCTACCACTGAGCCACAACTCCAGCCCCCAAGTTATCACTTTCAATGATTATATTTTTCATTTCCAAAAGTTCTATGGCTCTTTTCCAAATATTCCTTGGTATTTCTGAAAATTTATTCCTTTGTCATGCTTATTACCTTTTAAAAAATGTCTTTAAATGCATCAAACATACTTATTGTAAACTTACATTCCTTGGAAATCTATCTGTGAACCTTCTTTGGGGTCTAAATTCAAAGAACATTCCTCTATCGATAGCTAGGATCTTTTGCCAGGTACCTAGGCCTCTCACAACCCAACAGTGTTAATTTTCTGTTTGGGGTTTTCCAGGTCATATAAATAGTATGAAATTGGACCTTATATCCATGGTAGCTTGGGGTTAAAATTTCTCTAGGGATCTGTTTCTTCTCTCAGAACCAAGGAAGAGAGACGTCTCTTCTGTAGGGCAGGTTCTGGGTACACTTTCACTGCTTTTTGAAGTATGGCATGTGTATTTGTGCCTTGAGGATGACCCCACTGCTCAAGGTGTGGTCGATTCAGGATTCCTTTTTTGGGAGGCAGAATTTCCATCTCCACCTTTTGGCCTACTCAGTCCTAAGTCTTGTTTCTTCTCTCCTGTGTCGTATGTGTGGCTGATCCAAGCTCCAGGTCAGCAGGGGGGCAACGTCTGTAGGCCAAATGCTGACTCTAGTAATCCTCAGGACTTCCTTAGCTTTTAGCCAGTTTGATCACTCAATTTAAAATAATAATAATAATAATTTAAGTTTATCCAGCATTGTCCATGTCCTGGGAAAGATTATTTGAATACCTGGTCAATCTATTGCAGTCCGTGACCTTCTATCACACTTCTCTTTGCTTTCATTAATGTAATTTTCATGTCCTCATGGGGTCCTCCGTATTTACTTAGTCCTAAGTTTACCTAACTGGGCAACACACTGAGGAGGCTCTCCAGCAGGCTCTGCCAGTGCTGCCTATGCCACCACCTCCCACTTAATAACACTGCAATAAGATGATTTTAATGCTGAAGCAGCAAGGTGATCATGCCATCTGGGTGGGAAAGAAGCTAGCAGCTCCCGACTGTTGGCCAAACTACAGCCATCTTTATGCACACTGTTCTTATTCTCAAGAGACAGAAACTTTCTGGTCTCTGTTCTCTCCTTGATAGATAAAAAGTTGCCCATCTCTGTTCCGAAGAAACAGTAACTTGCCATCTGCAAAATCAGGTGATGTTTGCTATGCCATTCACAAGGTCTAAACCCGCCCCTAATAGACGGCCATGATTCTGGCCTATAAAAGGTAATGCTCAAGGGGGAGTTGCTGCTGCTCTCCCTCTCCTGCCGCTCTCCCTCTCTCCCTCTTCTGCCACTCTCCCTTGCTTGCTGCTTCTCTCTCTTTCTCCCTCTCTGGGTAGAGCAGCCTGTCAGGGGCCTGACAATAAATCTGCTGATGCCTCTGTCCTCGGTGTGCCTGTAATCACTCCTGTGCCAGTTTGTTTCACCCTCACCTGCAGTCCAGGGCTCTCGGTCTTGTGCCCACTTTTCTCAGCAAGTACCTTCCCCTGTCTGCTCTCCTCACGTGGACATTCAAGCAATGGAACACTTGTAGGTCTCTACCACCTGCCAGATATGCTGGAGGCTAAGAAAGTCAAGGCCTCTACCTCTAAGGACTCACCTGGAGAGCATCAGAAAGGTAAGCAGATGCATGACAGTGCTGAGGGCAAGGGGAGGGGGAGAGGGCCCAGCAAGGTGAGATAAAGGCCAGAGAGTAAGATCTTTGTATGTCAGGCTGCATACTTTGATTTTTGTTATCAACGAAGAGCTATCATCAAAACTCTGTTTTTCGAAGAGAGCAGAAGAAGGAGGCAAGGAAAATGGTCAGAGGGAAAGTCCCAGTGGGGGCTGGGGATGTAGGTCAGTGTGGTCAGTGGTGGAGTGCTTGCCTAGCACAGGCAAGACCCTGGGTTCCACCTAGGAACAAAAATAGAAACAGGGTGTGGTACCCTCACCTATGATCCCAGCTACTTAGGAGGCTGAGGCAAGAGGATCTCAGGTTCAAACCCAGCCTCAGCAACTTAGGGAAGTCCTGTCTCAAAATAAAAAGGGCTGAGGATATAGCTTAGTGGTAAAGCGCTCCTGGGTTCAATCCCTGGTACAAATGCAAAACCATAAGTTCAAATGGGAGATGAGGAGACCTGAGCTCTGGCCCCGACCCCTTCTTTCCCTAATCTTAGGGCACATTTTAGGAATTAATTAAATGTTATCTAATACGGAACTCTTCACATAGATCTCTAGTATAGCTCTTACCACACTGTAAAGTAATGGCTGCTTTTCTTACTTTTCCTTCCCATAGAGTTCACATGCTTTTGACCCCACGTAACTCCACCTAACCCAATGCCTGGTACGTGGGACTCAGTCACTCCATCTTTATTGAATGTATAAATATGCTCTTGTCTCCAATGTAGGTGTCACCTGCCCAACCAGAAAACAGTCTTTAGAGATAGCAAAACTGCTTATCCTTCTGTGCTACTGTCTGGCATGGTGACGATGACAGTGCCTTCTCAGTGAGCAGCCAGTGAGCTCAATATGGCTGGAAAGTGCTTCGGGAGGTTGGCCTTGACTCGTATGTGCAGAAAGGACTGGCCATGGCCGGAGTGTCACGGCTCCCCTGGAAGCTCAACAGCTTCCACACCTACGAGTGATAATCGTTCTCCACGACAGTAACGCTGAGGATACCTCGCCGATGGCCTTGATCTTTAAGAGGCAGGTCCTCATGCTGGTGCTGTCTGCTTTCTCCAGGGCTTCCTCTTCCTCCAGGGAGGCCAGATAGGCAAGAGCCTCCCTGCCGTACTGCTTACAGGCCTCAGTGAGAGCTGGAGAGGCAAGGGACAGTGACTCACAGCCCCTGCTGGCCCTCTTCCAGGGGTGGCCCCTCTTCCCCAGTACTCACAGTCAGCGGGCTCGGGCGGGGCCCTGAGGCTGGTGGTGCTGCCGTGGGCCAGGGTCTCACTGGTCAAGTGGGCCAGCAGGGTCACTGAGTGCAGAAGCCCACCAATATCTGCAGAGGAGAGAAGAAGGGTCCCTCAGTCAGGTCCAGGTGTCCTATTCAGACCTGCTTCCTCCCTGCTTTTCTTTTTTAACCTGTGACTTATTTCTTTTTAAAATTTATTTATATATGGCAGGGGAATGCATCACAATTCTTATTCACCCTTCCTGCTTTCGAGTCACACAGCACCACGTCTGACCACTCTGAGCCCAGCCTGGCTGCCCCTAACGACAGAGCCCATTCTTTGGCCTTCTTACCTTCTGGGCAGGCCAGATACTGGCCCCGGCTCTTTTCCAGTTGCTCAATGCAGCTGAACATGGACTTGACCTTGGCAAGAAGGTGATCTGTGAGAGGGAAGACAGGGCAGTCAGGACCAGCATTCTGAGGAGGTGTCCCCATGCAGCCACATCCTGCTTCATGAGTGCATGATAGACGGCTGACCCAGCCCCACAGGAACTGCCCTAGGGCATGGGAAGGAAGGTGGTGGCTCTGTGCGTGGCCTTCCTCCTGCACTTCAAGAGCTGCACTGCTGTACCTGTCTGGTGCCATAGCCAAGAGCCAGGACACCCCACTGCGGCCTGGCTCCACCTCACCCCTCTCCACGGCCCACCATGGGCATCCGGGCTCTCCTGTGAGGTCCTTCAAGGACCTCTGCGTCTGGCGGTGTTGAGCCTGACCTTGGCTTTCTGGTGGTTCTGCCTTCCTGCTCTGCACCCCACAGTCATTCCCATAGCTGCACCTCTGGCCACAGAGCTCAGGACACCATGCAGCTCCAAGGCACAACAGTGGCTCTCTCACATGTCCAGGTGTGGCTCCTGACCCTGCTCCCCCATCAGCTGGTCGGTGCCTCATCTGAACATGAAGTCTCAGGGCCCCTTAGGGCCCAGGCTGGGTGGAGGCTCACTGGAGCTTTGAGTGGGGCCTGGCACAGGCAGTGCCCAGAACTGGCCAGTGGTCTCTTGGCACTGTGTCCCTGCCCAATGCTCTCCACTACTCCAGGTCTCTCCTTTCCAGCCCTAGCTCCCATCATCTCTCAGTCACCTGTTTCCTGCATCTCCTGTGAGCTCTTCCTGCCCTGTGCGTCACCTGCCAGGGCCTTCCCACCTGATGACAAACCAGCACCAGAGGCTCCCGCCCTCCTCTGCCTGTCTTTCAGGACCTCCTCAGTCTGCCAACATGTCCCTTTGGATTAAAAATGAGATCTGTTCTTGGCTGCGTCCGTGGTCTGACAAATTTCCAGTGCTTGGGGGCTCTTCCACCTACTAGGGACAGAACCCCTGTGTCCTCCAGGGGAGGTCTCCTGAGGCTTGGGACGCTGTTGAACTTGCATGTTCTCAGGACTCACCTACCTGTGCAGTGGGCTCTGTTCATTCTGGGATCATGATGGATTTTAATTTTTCTTTATCTTTTGGTACCAAGGATTAAATCCAGGGTGCTTAACCACTGAGCAACACTCCCAGCCATATATATATATATGTTGTTGTTGTTTTGAGAATTGGTCTCACTAAGTTGCTGAGGATGGCTTTGAAATTGTGATCCTCTGCCTCAGCCTCCCAAGCCTCTGGGGTTACAGATGTGCCCCGTGCCCAGCTTGGATTTTTATTGCTATGCCACAGCCTGCTTCATGGCCCTCCCACCCCCATGGAGCCTTCAAGATGATGAGCAGCTTTCTCTTTAGAGACACAGGCTGCTGGGTCTCCTTTTATGCCTTAAAGCAAAAACCCTGGACCCAGGTACGGTGGCACACACACAGCGGTGGGAGGCTGAGGCAGGGATCACAAGTTCAAAGCTGGCCTCAGTAATTTAGTGAGACCATCTTTAAATATATAAAAAAGGGTCGGGGACGTAGGCCAGTGGTTGAGTGCTCCTGGGTCAATCCCTGGACCTCTACCTCCCCCCCAAACCCCGACCCTGATTATCTCAGCATTCTGCTCAGAGTGACACACTGACTGCTGCCCATGCCCTGTGCCCAGAGCTTCCGACCTAACTGACCTGAATGAGGCCTGGGCATCCCCGAGACTCTGACGTGCAGCTGGGCTGAGAACCCTGAGCTATGTTTCACATGGGATTTGGTGCCAACAGATAGCACCAGGCCATGCAGACGCAGCACCGCGGGCAGGGCAGGGGTAAGAGTACCTGCGGATCCAGCGCAGCTGATGAGCGTGGGCTCCTCCATCTGGCTCAGAGCCTCCTGGATCACCAGATCCGCAGCCTTCCTAGACCCCACCAGAAGCCTCTTCTGCTGGTCCTTAGCAAGCTGGCCCATAGATTCCTACAAGTGGCCCAGGAATGTGAGAGTCAGCCATGGACCCCACGAGAGCCCCAAGTATCATCTGCCTGGGACCTTGCTGGGATCCTGGCCTCTCAGCTCAGGTGGTCACTAGTGGGGTCCAGGCCAGTTGGCTCAACACAGAGACCGCTTGAACCATGGCCACAGGAGACTGCTGGGCAGTCCCTGAGACCCTTGAACCATGGCCACAGGAGACTACTGGGCAGTCCCTGAGACCCACTCTCCACTCTTGGGGGAGAAGGCCCAGTGCGTCCTTTCTCATAGGACAGAGGGCACTGTGGGCTTGCTCTTTGGCTGGCACCAGGCACCGTGCCTACCAAAAGCCTCCGGACCCTTCCTCAGAGGCCCATGGTGTGAGTTGGTGGTTGCTCAGCCCTGGTGGGTGTCCACGACGTGCCTGTGTACTGGCCAGTTTGAGCTGTGTGCCTTCCAGTTGTTCTCGAAGGGTTACTAATTCCTCTTCCTGAAGAGCCACGGTGCTGGCCAAGCTGCCCCGCTCCTCCTCTAGTTCAGCGACCTTCATTGTCCATTTTGCTTCTGACTGCAATGGAGACCATGGGAAAAATTAAACCGTCCCCTTTCCCCAGGTCCAGACCCACCTCCTGGCCCCAAGGAGCAGGAATTGAGGTCTCTTCCACCTCACACTCACTGCCCCCTGAATACACGCCAATCACAGATAGGCCAGCCTGGCCATGGGCAGGATGCTGGGGGCTCACCTCGGCAGAGGTGTCCAGGCTGCTGTGGAGGAGCTGCAGCTCCTGTCTGCTGGTGGTAAGTTCTTGCTTCAAACTCTCTAGAATGCCCTGCTGCTCTTGAGTCTGAAAGAGAAGCCAAACTGGAGGTCTCTGGGCTGGGTGACCACTGGAGGGAACACAGTAAGGAAAGTCCCCTGAGCTATCAAGGCCAGACTGCCACTCTACTGTATGTAAGATAAAAAGTGCAGGGGAGGTGATACCTGAGACTGTACCCCTTCTGGCTAAGTCCTCAAAGGAGGCCTCCCGAGGATAATTTCCAAATGCCATACTTGAATCCACAACACTAATCAAAGTAAAACCAGACCTTAAATTGACACATCCCAACACCTGCTACAGCTGGCTACACATCTCGCCATCGCAAATCACCCCTTCCCTGGAATTCTTTCTGAGTGGTGTTTTTTAAAGAGTTGGCACTTTAGTAGGAATTCATGACTAACATGTTCAAAAAATGATTTAATAATCAAAAAATGAGAAAATAACCAAAGGCATCAAATAGTGAGGGGAGCATCGCTCGGTGACACTTCTTCCTCTAGGTGATGTGTTCTTTTGATTTGGATTACAGACACGTGCACAGGGTCCTCTAAGGCTCAGTGTCCAGTTTTGCTCATGTGACCTTACTCCACCCCAAGACCCAGCACAATGGAGTTCTCTTGCTGGCAAGACTGTGAGTGCATTCCTCCCCTGCTTTCCCTCCCTGGAACTCTCCTTGGGAAACTTCTACTGGGAAACCCCATTCGACTCGGGTCCCTTCATTACCTCCTGCTCCTAAACCACATGTGCACTGGTGACTGTGCCCCGATGTCCTGTGAGGTCTCCAAAGGCCCTCCCAGAGCCTCCATGGAGCGGATGACAGACGGCTTTGATCTGTGGTGGGCCTGAGGCCTCCCCTCCAACCGTCCCTGTGACCCCACCCCCGGGCATCTCTCCTCCACACACCTTCAGCTTGGCCTGGCTGCTCACACGCTCCATGGAATCTTCTAGCTCTTTTTTCTCTCGTTCCAAATCCACCTGGGCTTGTCTGGCCACAGACACCTGTTTGGTCACCTCTGCATTCTGTAAGGGAAGAACAGAGTCCTGAACTGGCGTCTCCTGAGCCTATGGGACATCTTGCATCCAGAACCAACAATCCCATTCGGACTGTGAGAGCTGGGTCTGGGTGTCATCTTCCCAGGCAGAGGGGGGTCAGAATCAAGCCACCACCTTCAGGTTCTGTCTCTCCAATGTTTACAAACATAACAGAAATGGGTAATTCTATGTGGGGCTGGCACCCAAGATGGAGCTCAAGGTACAGAGGCGAGGGGCCTTGAAAGGCTGGGGTTCCCCAGAGGAGGCAGCTCTGGGCCTGAAGAAGCCTGAGGCCTATGCTGCTGGCTCCCTGTGGGGCGGGCTGCACACGGGGAGCCAGCAGCTGGAGGGGTGAGGGTCCTACCTTCCGCAGCAGGTCGGCATGGTTCTGAACCAGCTCGCTGTACTTCTCCTTCAACTTGCTATACCGCTGCTCATTGGCCTGGGCCTTCCCTGCAGGGTCAAGGCTGAGGTGAGGCATCTGCCCTGCTGGGGCCCTCTGCCCTTGTTCCAAGTAACCTGGGGGCCCCAAGGAGGCTCCTTTTCCCCAGGAGCATAGACCTTCTTCTCCCTTAAAAATCCTACTTATATCAACTTCTTTGGAAAGCTGTCTTTAAAAAAAAAGAAATTCATGCCTCCTCAGTATTTCCGTGCCTGGGATCCACATCATCAGGGATCCTGGCTTATAGGATGGTTTTTCCTCAGGCCTCTGTCCTGTCTCCCCTCTCCCAGGGCATCCTCTGCATTCCCCGTCCTGTGGACCCAGAGGTGCCTCCTGTGGGGCACTTGCTGCCCCCAAACCTGCCCTCTGCTGGACCCTGGTTCCCAGTGAGCCTCGACCCTGTGCGCCCCACCCCGACCCGGGGCCCAGCCTGGACGGTCGCTCACTCTCGATTTCCGTCAGGCTCCGCTGGGCCTTCTCCGTGTCCTCCCGCTGCTTCCTGAGTTCGTCCAGCTCCGTCCGCAGGAACTCGCAGTTGTCAGCCGCCTGTCGCCCCAAGTGCTGCTGCTCGGCCAGCTCAGCCTCCAGCTCGCTGACGCGGCCCTTCAGCTGCAGCATGGCCCGCTGGCTCTGCGGGAGGGACCCGGGGGGGCCATCTGGTCACCACGCTTCCAACGGGCCGGGCATGCAGAGCAGGACATGCCCAGTTTCCAGCTCAGAGAAAACCAGGTGGGCCTCCTTATGGTGGGTTCCTCACCCACAGCTCCCACCAACCACAGAGGGAGGATGGTGTCCAACAGCTGAGCGTCTGCACCAAAGCGAGCTGGCCTCTCTCTTGTCATTATTCCCTAACGAGGCAGCCTAACAACTCTGGGAAGTACGTATGCTGGGGCTCCGCGGTGGGAGCGCCTGCCTGGCACAGGTGAGGCACTGGGTTCGATCCTCAGCACCACATAAAACAATAAATAAAATGAAGGTATTGTGTCCATCGACAACTAAAATTACTTAAAAAAAACTAGTATGCGGCATTATGTATTATAAGTAACAAGAAATGACTTAAAAAATAGGTGAGGATGCACGTGTTTTATGTAAAGCGACACCATTTCATATAAAGGATTTGAGCATCTACAGGCCTTAGTATCTGCTCACTGGTGCTTGGGAACCCGTGCGCCATGGATACTGAGGGAGGACCCCAGAGGCCTCGGTTTTCCTGAGCACCTGGCTCCCAAGGTCTCAAGAGAATTGAGCCTCTGGTCACCATGAGCCCAACAGGGCTAACCCCCGGCACTCTAACTAGGACAGAATTCCCCTGCCATTACCAGCTTCACCCATAGGACCTGGAAGGAGGAGGGAGATGCAGGGCCTGTCCCCTTGAATCAGTCTTCCGACCAGCTTTGGGGCAGGAATGCTGTAAACCAGGTCCACACACAGGCACCGAGAGTCCCAAACCAAGCTCTTCCTGGGCCATGTGAGAGGAACTGGAGCCAGGTGGTTACCATGGCTACCCCTGGGTTTCATGGGGACCCTGGTGCCTGTTTTATCCTCAGGGAGATGGGGCCGTCCAGGTGCGTTTGGCTTTGGCATTTCTACAAATTAACCTGCCTTAGGCTGTGGTCCAACTGGTATCGGGGGACACAGCTTTACGCTGCAATGCATCATGTGATCAGGCCCAGTGCCTACCTCTACCTTCACGTTTTCCATCTGTGCTTTCAGCCCGCCGATCTCCCTATACAGGGCCTCGATCAGGTGGTCCCTGGGGAGAGAAGGAGGACAGTGCTTCTTTCCCTCTTTCCAAAACACCAGCTTGGAGATTGGTGTGAGGGGAGGGGTTAAAAGCTGGGGCTAATCCGGGAACATTTCCTCAACACTGCCCCTCACATAGTCGACCTTCTGCACCTGTGGGCTCATCCCAAGAATTCAACCAACTGCAGATTGGAAATATTTGAGGGGAAAAAAAACACCTGTGCTGAAGAGGTACAGATTTCTTCCTCTTCTCACTCTTCCCTAAACAATATGGTATGGCAGTGATGTCCCCAGCACGTACATTGTATCAGGTATTTTAAGTCATCCAGAGAGGATCTGTAGCACACAGGGGAAGTGTGTAGGTCCTATGCAATGACCACCCGATTTATGCAAGGGACTTGCGCATCTGCGGACCTTGGTATCAGCGTTATGCTAGGAGTCACCTTAGCCCAATGTAAAGCCCACAGGTGCAGTCAGTGATCTTCTGGGATTAAGGGTCAAGACATTCTTTCTCTAAGAGGCCTAAGGGTGAAGAATCCCTTGGGTTGGGTGCTGCGGATACAGCATGGCTCAACTTAGTCCCTGCATGATGAGCTGATAGTGGCTGGGACTCACTTCTCATCCTTGCTCATGCCATTCTGGCTGTTGAAATTGAAGGGATCGCTGCTGAAGGAGCTGCCAAAGATGTCGTCAAACTTGTTGTCAAATAAATTCTGCGGTGACCAAAAGGGAGGGGGAAGTCAGAGACCAGGAGACTCCCACGTGTGGGTCAATGGTCGGAACCTCCCCAGGAACCACAGAGCAGGCTAGCCTCCTGCTTGTATTCTGAGAAGGCTGAACAAAGGTGGGAACATCAGCCTCTGCCTGTAGTCCCAGCTACTCAGGAGGCCCAGGCAGGAGGATCGCTTGAGCTCAGGAGTTGGCCTCCAACCCATCTCAAAAATAAACAGGGTGGAGAGAGCCAGTGCTCTCTCCCACCCGCATCCCCACACTTGGGGGCAACAGGAAGGGCCAAGCTTGTCTCCCAAGGGTCCTCACCTGCTGGGAGGCATCCATGTCCATGAGGTCATCCTTTTCTAAGATGGGTTCACTGTCAGGGGACGAGCCCTCTGCGGGGATGACCACCACAGGGCTGATGTGTTCCGACAGGGCCGAGGCTCGCAGGAAGTTGGGTGGGTTCTGAAGAGGGAGACACACTTTCAGCCTGCGTTCACCTGACAGGCCCTGCCGGCTGCAGGAAGGACCGGGGGACCCCACAGTGCCAGGGTATGACAGGTGTGCTCACCTCTGGCAGCTGGGGGATCTGAATGAGCCGCTTGAAGTACTGGAGGTTGCTGGAGCGGTGGAAGAGATCTTTCAACCTGGAGGTGGAGAGGGCCTTAGGGGTTACTGGGTGTCCCTGCCAGCCCCGGGGAGGGGACAGGGCAGCGGCCCCCAGCTTCCCTACCCCTACACAGCTCAAGGGCACAGGCTGTCAAGGAGATGGTCTCTGTGGTGCCAGGAGTCAATTATGATGCTATGGACTAGGGTCATTTACAGCCGGTCCTCAGTTATCTGGTGGCGAGGAAAGAGCGATTTATATCTGACTAAGGGTAATATCTAAAGAAATTGGCCTATAATCCCAGCAGCTCAGGAGGCTGAGGCAGGAGCATCGTGAGTTCAAACCAAACATCATCAAAAGTGAGGTGCTAAGCAACTCAGTGAGACTCTGTCTCTAAATAAAATACAAAATAGGGCTGGAGATGTGGCTCAGTGGTCGAGTGCCCCTCAATTCAATCTCTGGTACCAGAAACAAATAAAGTGATTTTCTCGAAGGGTAAACCAACAAGCTACTGGGAAGGGAAAGCTACTACGAAGCTGCACCCTGTTTTTGAGCTATACGTTGTCTCCCTATTAGAGCAGAAGCTTCTAGAGGGCAGGGGCTGATCGCTACTGAGCTGCGTTTACCAAGGTCCCAGGCACAAAGGGATGTAAGTCTCGAAGAAAGAATGATCTGCCTGTACAGAGCCCTAATCTTGGAAGAACATGAACATGAAGAAACCAACTTATGATTTTTTGCAGTGCTGGAGTGGAACTGGGGGCCTCGCAACTGCCAAGCTCACGCTCAACCACTGAGCTCCGGCCCCAGCACTGGAAGCCAAGATTTCTTCCTTATTCTCAAATCTCTATTTTGAATCTAAATACTGAAGACTGAGAAACCTGACAGCGGAGAATGATATATACTGAGAGGAAAGGGTATTTCGGATCCTAGCATCTCTACCTAGCAGCAACACTCTTTCCCTGGCTCAGCTTCATGGACGAAAGCCCTGGGGTCTCATGACAGCCTTCCAGACCCCAAGACTTAGGTGTGTTCCTGTGACATTGCTGCTGCCTGTGTGTGGAAGAGGGGGCGTGGTGTCTATGCACGGGAGATGTTGTCATAAATTAGAAAAAAGCGGAAGGAAGTGAGGCCTGACCCATGTCCCCGTCTTTCTGGGCCGGAGCCAACAGTAATACTGACTACTGCTTTTGCAAGCTACCGGAATCTAACATTCCAGGAACTCGGCCCCGGTGCCTGTCTCCTAGGATTTCATAAGTCATTCATTACAGAATGTGTACTCAGTGTTCCCCAGTGGAACAGGGGAGCTGAGAGGTGACTGCAGCCCTGCACTTGGCCTTCAATTGCTCCTGGGGAGCCAGGAAGAGAAGCACAGCGTCAGGATGCAGGAGTCATGGTCACCGATGAAGAGGTGAACCAGAAAATGCGAGGACTGGCATTGATCATGCCAGGCCAGGGGACCCTTCTCAACTCCAGGGTCCTCCTGCCTCTAGACCCCCTTTCCCCTTTTCTTGGGATAATTACGTTAGGGATGAGCTGTACCTCTACATTAGTCACCAATTTTCGCCCCCAAATGCACCAGGGTAATTTACTCCTCAGCCAGACACGCTCCTCCTTTCCTAGACAAGCAGCTCAGGCATCTGGCTTCTTAGCTTGCAAATTCACCCCAGGATTTCTCGATACTCTGTGCTTGTTATGGATTAGATGTAAGGTGTCCCCCAAAAGCTCATGTGTGAGACAATGCGAGAAGGTTCCGAGGTGAAATGATTAGATCGTGAGAGTGGTGACCTCAGAGTGTGCTGGTCCCCTAGTGGAGAGTAACTGAGTGGTGGCTGTAGGCAGGTAGGCTGTGGCTAGAGGAGGTGGGTCACGGGGTGGGGGGTGGGGGGCCCTTTGGGTTTATATTTTGTCTGTGGTGAGGGGAGCGCTCTCTCTCTTTCTCTCTCTCTCTTTGCTTCCTAGTGCCACATCCCTAGCTGCTGTCCTTCACCACTCGTCCGCCATGACCATCTACCTCACCTCAGGCCCCAAAGAATGCCGTTGGCCATCTGTGGACAGAGGCCTCTGGAACCGTGAGCCTCCAAATAAACTCTTCTTCCTCTATTTGTTCTCCTCAGGTCTTTTGGTCACAACAGTGACAAAGCTGACTCAGATACTGTTTCCCGGTCTAGCACTGGTCAGGAACTGGGGACAGAGCGCTGGTGCAGAGGGTCCAAAAGGAGGGAAGCCACACCAAGAACTCGAGGGAAACAAAAGAGTGAGAACTTGGGGTGGGGAGAGGCTGGAAAAACAGGGTACAGGGAGGAAAGTCGGGAGTGAACGAGGGAGCGGGGGATGGCCTTCCTGAGGAGATGACAAAAGATGACCAGGAGCTCTGCAAGGAGAGGAAGCAAGCACTGAGGCCCTCACGGTCTTAGGAGCTGGGCGTGTCCCTAGGACTGTAGACCCAGAGGGGCCGGAGCAGTGAGGAATGGGGAGGAGGTCCAAGATGGCAGGCAGGGCTGGGTCTTGCACAGCCTTGCAGACCACAAAGAAGGATTCAGGCTGTACTCTAATGTAGGCAGAGCCATGGGAAGCTCTTGAGCAAGAGAGAAGTTGGACATACTGTTCCATCTGCTGGCGAGGCCTGGATTACAGAGGGGGGTGGAGTCTAGGGAGTCTGGTCAGGCCAGAGGGTCCTGGCGGGAGGCCCTGGTGGCTGATGCACTTGTGGATGGAGCTAGAAGTTATCTGTAGAGTGTCAGCAGAAGCCAACAGTGGACTGGACGTGGGGCAATGTTTTGTTTTGTTTTGTTTTTGAGAAAATCTTGAGTTCAGTTAAAGATTTAAGATTTAAATCTGGTATCTAGGTGTCACATCGAGTATGTGAGATTGGAATTTAGATCTAAGATACATGTGTTTAGGAGCTATCTGCGTAAAGGGGGTCAGAGCAGGTGACCTAAGGACAGGACAGAGAGATGGAGTCTTGGCATGGGGCAGGTGAATCTCCCTCTTCCAGGGGATTTACCAGGGTCCAGTAGGTGTGCTGCTGTCCTAGCTATTTCCTGTCATTTTATCTCCCTAGAACGCAAGCCCCACTGCCCCTCACGTATTTCACAGTGTGCACGTGCTCGGCCTGGATCCATCTTACAGCGGGTTTTGATTTGCCTCCACTCCTGTTATTAGAGCCACTTACTTTGTGAACTGCTCCATGAAGCGGTCTCGGTGGCCCTGCAGGGTGTCAGCTGGGAGACCTGGAGGAGAGTGGAAGGAGTGTAAGAGGGCAGGCAGGCCACATGGGCTCCAGATGGAAGGGTGGCTATCCTGGGGCCACTTCTGGTCTGTGACCAAGGGAGCCCCACAGGAGTGTGGGGACCCTCATCCTCCAAATCTTCCCACTTCCAATTTGGCCTAGAAGGATGAGCCATTCTGGGTCCAGTGTGAGGAGGCTGACCACAGAAGCAGCATTGACATGGCCAAGCCCCAGGGTTGGACCAGGGCAGATATGGCACACACTTGATCACCAGTGTAACTTGTGTGACTCTGTACAAGCAGCTACCTCTCAGGGACAGCTTCCCCATCACAAAGCCACCTTCACCTTCAAGACTGTGGGAATCTGTGTGATTCAGCTACAGACCACAACTCGGTTTTCAGTCTATTTTTAAATCTTAATTTTAGTCATTTTTGAATGGGTGGGACATTCACTGGGTGTGAGCATATATCAGGCATGATCCATCGAGAAGACCAAAGCGGACAGTGCACAGAAAAGTCAGTCTGCCTCCATGGGCTTCCTCCCAAGAGCACTTGGTCCTAGGACCCCAGTCACATCATGGTAAAATAAAAATAAAATTAAAAATAAAAAGGAATTGAGGGTCATTCTCCAAAAAATCTCACTAGCACTCAACATGTCAAGGTCCTCAAAGACAAAGAGACTGAGAAATTATCACAGCTGAGAAAAGCCCCAGGACACTAGATGGCTCCGTGTTATGTAGTGTCCTAGATGGGAGTCCGGACCAGGAGAGGGACCCTGGGTACCAACTGGAAATCTGAGAAAGCATGACCTCAGTTAATAAGGTATTGATAGTGTTTCATGAGTTGTGACAGGTGCATCCCGCTAACATGGGGATAGCAGGGGAAGCTGGGTATGAGGTCAACGGGAATCCTCTATACTGTCTTGATGACTTTTCTAGAGTTCTAAGTAAACATGTCTTAGATTAAAGTATAGAGAAGTCAAGTGTCTGCAAGCTGAAAATCAGAAATGCAAAACGCTTCCAAAATGAAGTGACCTGAAATCCAAAGCCCTCTGAGGACCGCCGGGTCTCAGATCAAGGATGTTGGTAGTCCATGCCAATGTTCCAAAATCTGAGAAATTCCGAAACCTGAAACACTTCTGGATGGAGCATTCTGTATAAGGGATGCTCGACCTGTGTCTTCCCATGTCCCTACTTCTCTCCTCAGCCACCCAGCTCCCATGCACGTCCAAGTGGGTCTCACACATTGCCCTGCCTTTAGAGATCTTTGAATCCCAATAATTACTTGCCTGTTCTCCTATCTCACCGCTCTATAAGAACCTCGTGAGGTTGTGTTGTGCGATGCGTTTTATAGCATCATAGAGACGATTAGCTCACGGGCACTCGGCGCTGCAACGCAACATCTCCCTTCTCCTCTTGGGATTTGATTGACCCTGGGCTCCCTTCAGATTTGGTCCACAGCCTTTCTGATCCCAGAAGTGCAAATTTAATCTCCCTCCCAGGAAACCACCCTGAATTCCTCCACATGCTATTATTCTCTGACCCTGTCCTAACAATTGGACTCTGTGCTTGTTGGTGACCACAGTTAGGGAGCATCCTTGTCCCACACTTCTAAAATATGGTCTTTTGTGACATAAAACCCCAGGCCCATGACACTTTGCTGGTGTCCGTGCACATGGAGACTTTTCTTGGTTTTCCATCATGCACAGACTTTTTTATACAATCCTTCATGGTGGCCACCCTGCAGTGGGGCACGAGTGCCACAGGATTACATGGGGACCTGCATTTAATGGTGCAGATCTGAACCCTGCTGGAGACCCCCTAAAGCAGAATGAGCCTGGCACAGACACACAGTTTCAAACAAGAAACACACAGGGCGGGTGCAGCTTGGTGGTGGAACAAAAGCTCAGCATGTGAGAGGCCCTGGGTTCCATGGCCGTCACCGCAAACCAACCAGCAAACCAACCACCAGCACACAGAAGCATGGAGTCACAAGAACAGTAGCTTCCAAACTATGCTCTGCCAAGGGCATGCCAGGGATATGCAGCAGGCGAGGGACAGCCCTCCATTTAGGTGAGCAGCTCCGTTCTACATATTTCTGCATAAAATTCCATCTGTACAAAGGATGATGTCATTAATGGTTTGGACATTGCTTCCTTGGCTCATAAGGGCCAGAGATATGGTCCTTGTGTAGGTCCTAGAATACCTGATGTCCTTGAGGAATAGAGACACAGCACAGATAGAGATGGACCATCCTGGGACACAGCAATGGCTTGCTAGGAGCTGTACCCGGCCCACCATAATTTAGACCCCGTTCTTCTATTTTCAATTCTCTCTTTTTTTCTTTCTGGTGGTACTGAGGATGGGACCCTGGCACTCCCCTGTGCTGGGCAAGCACCCTACCACTGAGCTACATTCCTAGCCCCTTCCATTCTCTTGACTGCCAGGAGCTCCAGGCACTTTTGAAACAGAAGTGGAGCCAAGGGCATGCAGCTGGGCTGTGGTCTCCAGGGACCTCCACGCCCGAGGCTCATGGAGAAAGATCCTGCGGGTGTACTCACAAGAGTGGAGTTTGAAGAGGAGCTTGACGGTGTAGTCATAGAGGTGGCTGCAGTCCAGGATGACCTGGATCAGCGGGGCGAGGCGGCACTGCCCTGCAGTGGTCACTGACACCGAGCGGGACATGTCCAGGGAGTTGAACACTGGAAATAAAAGGGGGAGAAAGCAACAGGGTGAGGCAATGGCAGGTGGCAGAGAGGCAGAGAGGCAGAGGAGGGCCCAGCACGCAGCAAGGGCCGACTGGGTGAGCATCACTCCAGTTCACTCACTTAGCCCTTGCAGCACAGAGAGGGTGTCCCTATCATTAGGGGAAAGCCAAGGTGTCATGCTGAGAGTTAAAGATGCACCAGAGAGCCCACGTGGCCACCCGCAGCTAGGCCAGGCGCCTCTGCCCCCGATGGCCAAGATGCCTGGTGTGCAATGAACAGGCTCTGCTTTGTGCAGAGCCCCGTGACAGCCCTGAAAGACGAGATCTGCTCATCCCTGGAGAGCTCCTGGGACGCCCAGGAATCCCTTCTTCCCATCTCTGAGGAGCCTCCTAGTTCTGCCCCAAATGAGATCAGAAAGGCACAGCTAGTATTTCAGCTCATGTCAGGCCCAATGGGGAGATGGGTCATTCTGCCGGGGAGCTCTCAGGTCCCTGGGGCCTCAGAACCTGAAAGGAGCTGATCAATCAGGCCGAGTCGCTTGCATGTGAACTTGGCCTGACGCCCCTGGCCTTCGGAAGTGCCGCAGGCCTGGTGGTTGGCGGTAGCCAGCAAGGGCAGAATGCGCTCAGCGGGGATCAGAAAGTGAAGGAGGGAATCTTTCCGCTGTGGCTTCCCAGTGGCTCGCCTCAGGGGTTCTTGGGCCATTTCAAAGGGAGACACTGGAGGGCACAGACGCACCAAGCAAGGGTCTGGGGGGCAGGATGGACCACGGGGTCAAAAGCTCATCGGGGTCATGGGGGGCCATCAGCAGACGTGCTGCCTCGACTCCCCCAAGTTCTGGAGAGGAAGCTGCTCCCCCACTTTCTGTTCCAGAGATCCCTCCATATTTATGCCCAAGTTCCTGACCCAGGAACTGGATGCCTGGCTGCAGGTCCTCAGCTCGCCCCCTGGCCTGGTGGGTTTCCTTCCTGCCCAGGCTGCGCATGTCCCTGGAGGTGCTAGTCATGGCAGAAATGGACGTGACTTTCCCTGCAGCTCCACAGAGCGTGGCCCTGCCCAGAGCCCTGCGTGCTCTTCCTCCTCCGACTGCACGAATCCCTGGTAACAGGGTTAGTTTGGCAAATGGAAAAAAAAAAAAAAAAAGCCCCAACTGTTCTAATTAGCAGGCAGCTTTTCTTCTTGACAGAAATTACAAGCAGCTGCCGTTGCAAGGAAGCCATCCTCAGGCTCCCTCTCTGGGGCTGCCCGCTGCCTTCTTGAGGCCTCCTGAGATGGCCCTTGGTGCCCAGCACCACCCACAGCAGTGTAAGTGTGGATGAGGATGAGTGCTCAATCTCTCTGGGCCTCCAGAGGCTTCGCTGTGAAGCCCAACGATGCCAAGCGCACGCCTCACAGGGTCTTGTAATGTGCAGCGGCTCTTGGCTTTGACGCTGCCTGCAAGTCCCCATGCCCCTATTCTGTGTCAGCTGGTCTGGACTAGGGTCGGGGCAATGGTGGTTTTCAAAAGCCCCCTGGGTGAATCTAACAGGCGACCAAGGTTGAAAACTGACTGCTGGCCTGGGGTGTCAGAACCCCTGGGGCAGACAGAATTCCATAATGACAGAAACGCTCTGGCTGCACTATCCAATATGCAGCCACATATGGCCACACCAAACATGCCTAAAGTATGGCTTGTGCAACTGAGGACTTGACTTTGAAATGTTATTTAACTGTAACCAGTTTAAATACAAATGCTTCTCAGCTTAGGGTGGGGTTACATCCTGATCAGCTTAAAACACAGTAAGTTGGCACTGTGACTGCACCCGACCCATCAACATTGCAGCTCAGCCAGGCAACCGGGAGTGCTCGGGACACTCACGGGAGCCTCAACTGGGCAAAATCATCTAACACAGAGCCCATTTGATATGAAAGTGCTGCATATCTCATGTAATTTATTGAAGAGCTGTTAATTTCAGGTATTTTGTGATAGTGGAGAAAAGCTGACTAATAAAGCCACACTCAAATCCTGCATGTTCTAAGCCGGTGCAGTGGCCTGTAATCCTGTCACTTGGGAGGCTGAGGCAGGAAGATCACAAACAAATTCAAGGACAGCCTCAGAAGCAACTTAGTGAGGTCATTTCTCACAGTAAAGACTAAAGAGGGCTGGGGGTGTGGCTCAGTGGTTAAACACCTCTGGGTTCAATCCCTTCAATCCCTAAAACCAAACAAACAATAAATAAACAAATAAAAATAAAAAATAAGTCTTGCACATTCAAAAGCCAAAGGTAAATGAGTTTTGAATCACCTGTCTGGGTCCTTCCCTCCTGAAGCTAAATAATCATTAGCCACAGCAATTAATACGTGTTCATGTACCTTTATGCAAATAGTTACGGGAGCATATAAAAATTACTACTGAGGGCTGGGTTTGTGGCTCAGAGGTACAGCGCTTGCCTAGCATGTGTGAGGCCCTGGGTTTGATCCTCATCACCACATAAAAAATAAATAAATGAATAAATAAATAAATAAAAATAAAGGTATTGTGTCCCACTACAACTAAAAAATGAATATTAAAAAAAAAATACTACTGAGTCCATCTACAGCACTTCCCTCCCTGACTGGGAGTGGCTTAGGGCGGGGATGACACTCCCTAGTAGGTGTTTTGTTTTTAGGCCTCTGCCCACTTCACAGAAGGCCCTGCTCAAATACGTTGCCAGGAGGTTGGTTCCTTCATTTCCCACATCCTGTGCTGAGCTGACTGGTCAAAGCATCACAGACTCTCAGACCCGTCACAGGTTTAGACCAGCGCTGGGACACAACAGGACACTGGGACGCATATGCTGTACAGATGAGCTCACTGAAGGGAGCAGACTTCAGGTGAGTCAAAGCCCTACATGCCCACTGGCTGAGAAGGCCACCAAGCCCGAGTGAGAATGTCTGTCCTCTGTCAGTCACCTGCTGAGGACCAGCTTAAATCTTAGCACATCATCCTCTGTCTCCCAGGGAAAGGAGCCCGGCTGGGAGGTGAGGGGGACAGAGACACCCAGAGGAGGGAGGTGGTAGCAGCTGAGGGTCTGGGGGTCCCAGAACTCTGGGCAGGGTGGTCAGCTGCCCCCAGTAGCAGAGTAAGATGTCCTGGGTGACAATCTAGCTTGACCCACTTTTCCCAATGGCTGCCAGTTAAACAGCACATACAAGGCCTCCTCCTGGGAAGGAATCACCTGGGTCACAGCCTAGCTCTGATGGTAGATGGATAGGGCCAAAGGACAGCAGGGCTGTGGCCACAGTCCACTGGCTGTCAGAGAGTAAGACCTGTCTTTGGAGTCTTGGTGGCCTGGGCTTTAGGAGGGAGGCCAGCAGCATGTTTTTCTGCTCTGATGTGACATCACTGGCTTCAAATCCACAGAAGAACTTCAGCCCCTCCCTGAATTAAGAGTACAGAGACATGTGACCTGTGATAGGGAGATAAGGGCTGGCCCCAGGTCCAGGAGGAAAACCAAGCTGGGAAACAGATCACTAGGAGAGCCCTGTCAGATGGAAGGGCAGACTCACCAGTCTGGAAGAGGTTCAGTTCACACTCCAGGTAGTCAAACATCTCCACTGTTAGCTGGAAACTGACCCAAGAAGAAAGAGAACTTAGGTTCCAATCTTTGTGGGTGTGGAGGCGCCCAGGGCCTGGTGTGTGCTGGGCGCAGGCTTCACCGCTGAGCTACACCCCAGCCCCTAAGGCCAGTCTTTGACCTGCCCGCCCCCAGCTCCTGCCCCCACCCCAAGGCACACACATGAGCACCAGCGCACACGCCCAGCCACAACCTCAGCTCTCGCCCGAGTGGGCTTTCAGGCCATTTGAAGATGAAGAAGGACAGAGAATCCATAGTGACATAGGGAAGGGGAAGGACGGGTGCCTCGCCAGGCTGGGAGGTGAGGGTGAGGCAGAGGGGGGCCGCGAGGGGCGCCAGCCGGTGGCTCTGGATGGCACGAGGGCTTTACCCCACCCCAAGGGCTTTACCCCACCCCAGCCTCTGTCCCTAGCATCAGGCCCTCTGTGACCCTATTGGGAAGTGACAAAGGACAAATGCGGTCGCCTCCTGGGCCCAGGGCATGGGGACTGCCCCTTACAAGTTGTTGACGTCACTTTCTCCAGCCTCGTCCAGCTGTCGGTCGCTCATCTGAAGGTTGCACGGGAACCTAGGGTTCTGGGAGGGAGGTGGGAACCAAGTCAGAGGGAGGTGATGTCTCCCTAAGGCCAACAGAGCCAGCGTCAAGGAGCCCTCCTGGGATGTGACCCCACACACAGACACCTTGACAGGCTCGGAGACACCAAGCACCCACTCCACCCTCCTGAGGGGAGGCTCCTCCCCGCAATTTGCGCTCTGGAACATTCCATGCACACTCTCCCATGAAACCCTGCATATGACAGTGCTTGCTGTCAATCATCCATTTGCGGGAAAGGAGTATTTATTCATCCCTGTCCTTTCTGACCCCAAGCCAGGCTTCCTGCTGTCCTTGCCATTTCCTGGGGCTGCTGCTCTCCGTTCAGGGATGTACAGCATCCTCTTCCCCGCCTGTGAGAACCCTCAGTGGTAAAATAACCTTGACGGCAGGAAGATATTACGAGAAGCAGCCCCAAAGTTGAGAGAAATCCTTCTCCTACCATGGGGTCTGTCTAGAGTGGACGGACCTGGAGAGCAAGGGGAATAGGCTGGGGCAAGGCCCAGTGCTCTGTGTTTCCTTAGCCTCAGGTGACTGAATAGGTGGGAGTGACAGGTGGGGAGAGGCCTGGGCGGAGGTGCAAGGGGCTAGCCACCTGCCAGACCCTACAAGGTCTGGAAAAACTTCCTCAGTCTTTACGACGACCTGTGAGGCAGAAACAGTGATTTCCGTTTTAGAATGGAGGAAACCAGGACTCAGCTGGGATTCTCTCAGGCCAGGAGCAGAAGCCCCCACTAATACACTCCAGGTCAGCTCTGGGCTGCTCTGGGTGCAGGGGACACAGGGAAGGGATCAAGCAAGGTGGGCGGGGCTGTAGGTACAGGCAGGGAGCAGAGTCAGAGCTTGTGCAGGGTCTTGTCTCAGAGAGACCTGAACAGAGTCCAGAGCATGAGTCCCCCGGAGAAGGCTCAGCGCTGGGTCTAGCCAGGCGCTCTCGGGCAGGGGACTTCTTCACAACTGACCCTATTTCAGCCATGCAATCACCTGACTGTGCCAGGCACACAGCCCCACTTAACCTT